CCCCCAGCCCACCCTACTCTGCGCTCCGAGGTTCTGGTGCACTGGCTGCTTGCATCATACCCTACCACGGACCGTTCCGCCTGCAGCAGCGCCGGCGCCCCTGCTCCGCCCCCATACCCTGTCCTCCTGCCCACTCCGGCTGCCTGCTTCACTTATTAGCTTCACTCTATTCAAGCAATCCGAGCCTTTAACACCAAAAAAAGCAGAAAACTAGTTGAGCTGGCCCCAAAAAATACTGGTGCAAAGGCAAAGAACTGGCATCTACGAATATAATATAGTATCAGTATTACAATGAAAATCTGTATAAATATCATATAAATATCAATCGGCAATATAAAAAAATTGAACAGCAATCCATACAAAACGTGGGATAAATAAGATAATTCAACATAAATATCAAATTATGCTAGAACTACTATTCAAATTCGACTTCATTCGTAGTAGTAGTAGTAACACTACTGAAAACAGCACATTTCCATGCTTCAGAAAGCTGCAGCGTGCCTATAAGGAAATTTGGGGGCCAGGGTTTAATTTTCAAGTGACGTGAGGAGCATCGGTACGTTTTCAAGAGCTTAAAGTGCGGTGCGCAGCGACGGCGAACATGGGCGTTTTCCTTTTGTTTTACACAAGTATCAGGGCCATGACAGGAAACTTCTCCCGGGGATAACCATCGCGCGCCGGAACGCAAGGCAAGGCAAAGGCGGCAAACGGACCTTTATCAACATTATTCGGCGATCTTTACCAAAACGGATCATCTACTGGAATCCTTATCAAAACGGGCAACTTTTACCTTCAGGCGGCGACAGACACAGGGGACTGACTAAAAAGGTAGTCGTTCGATATTTAGGACATTATTAGGTTGTTAATCGACCTTTATTCTTATTTTCTTTAGACGGTACAGAACACGGAAATCATGCTAAGATCGGCTAAGGTAATATTACAAATCGACCAAAAAATGCAAAAGAAACTACCCTCTTAAGAGCCGGGTGCCCTATAAGTGTTCCACGGAAAGTAGCTCGGGGTCGGGTTTTCACACGTTACTTTCTTTTCGATTGGAAATCTATCCAAATCGAAACTTAAATTGTCCAGAAGATGAGATAGTTTCCTCAGCACATCTAGACACACCTTGACAGACCTATACCTCTTCCTGCTCCACACCGTCACACGTGTCGCACAGCACCTCGGCCCCGGGCAGCACCCGCCGCACCTCAGCGCGCTGCTCCCTGCAGGCGGCTGGCTCATGGCTGTACCAGTCCCTCCGCAGCATGAGCCTCCTGAGCGCCCGCAGCCTGCTATGCTGCAGCAGCGAGTGCAGGTCGCCGCAGCTCTTTTGCCACCACCCTATACTCCCTGCCGTGCCCACCCACAGCTCAAGCTCCTCCAGCGTGCCGCCGTGCGCCCGCAGCAGGGACTGTGTCGTGGCGCGGGGGATGTTGTACACCCTGAGCCACTGCAGGCCGGTGTGTCCCGGCGGCAGCGCGGGCAGCTCGGGGGGCTGGGCGCGCAGGGCATTACCCACCACGTACAGCCTCCTCAGCCGCGGCATGGCGTGCACCGCGCGCAGGTGGGCCTCGCGGGGGTGGCGCACATGCAGCCTCTCCAGCGTGGGCGCGGCGCGCTGCAGCAGCTGGAGGCTCCAGGCGGGGTCACCGTCGCAGTTCACCTCGACCAGCCGGGTCACCTGCGGAAGAACAGAGTCACTCTCAGGGGCTGTCAGCGGGCCGCAGTTTGAGGCAGTCAGGGCGGCGCGAGAGACTGAGCCACAGCGAGCCGCCACAGCGAGCCGCCACCGCGAGCGTCCCCGGCTGCCGCTGAGCTCCGCCGCTCCTCGGGCGCCGGTAGCAACTCTCTAGTGTCAGGCTGGGGCTGGGAGTATCCTCCTGCTGGGTGGCGAATACTGACAACAACGCCCTTTAGGCGAAATGGCCAGCAAAAACTGAGGCAGTGCCAGAAAGGCAAAAGAACAAGGAAAACCTCCTCCACTATTAAACGGAGATATTAAATAACCTTCCGAGTCAGACGGCACAGCTTACGTCAAAGTTTGATTCTCGTAAAACCAGAATCAGTCCTCGGATTTTCAAAACGATTAATAGTTGCTTTAGATAAGCTTGCATGTGAGAATGATTTCCCAACGTCCAGACTGGCCGATGCAAAAGTGTTAACTTATTCCATGGAGGAAAAACACTGTCAGTAATCAAACGTTTTTGTCCGGCGGACTTTGCAAGGAACAGGCCCGCTGATGCATCGTCATATTAATCCAGCTGGTCCCAGCGTGCCGCTAGAGAGAGTTGCTACTGGCCGTCCTCTGCCCGTGCCGCCCGCAGGCTGGTCGCCGTGGTCCGGCCGCACACTCACCCCGGGCGCTGCTGCGAGGAGGGCCGCCTTGTCCTGCTGCCGCTCATTGGGTCTGGTCACGCTGACTGCAGTCACATCCATCTCCCGCTCCGGCCGCGCCTGTGGAGGTGCTGGGCCCGGGGCTGCGGGCGGGGGACCCCGCGCCTCGACACGACGCTGCAACAAGCAGCCGGGCATTTTATTCGCTTGTGTGCCTTCAATAAACCATCTTTGTGAACCTTGTATTACTGTGGACCCTAGTAGACGCTCACCTTGGTGAGAGCGGCCTTCGCGGTGACGAGCAGCCACATGGCCCGGGTGAGGGGGTCCTCCGTGTTCGTCACGGTGCCCGTCAGCTCGTGGCCCTCGCCCTGCAGGGTCAAGTTCCAGGACTTCTTAGTCAGCAGGGTGAGGGCCTGGACGGCCTGCTCCTCCTGGCATTGGTCTTGCAGGCCTTCCAGCTGCCCAGCCGCCTCCTGCAGCGCGCCCTGCAGGTGGCGCCTTAGGGCTCTCTTGACGGGCAGGACGTCGTGGTCCTCCCAGCAGCGGGGCGCTGCGACGGCGAGGCAGTCCGAGCACCAGCCGCGGGGGGGCCTGTCGAGGTGCAGGGTGGTGGGTCAAAGACATAGTCCGGTGCGGGAGCGGCCGAGCGGCTGTCATTGTACGGTCCTAGACAAGGCGCTCACCTGTCTGGGAGCTCCATCTGTCGTAGGAGGTAGAAGTTGTTGGGCAGTGCGTCCGGGGGGACATCGAAGGCCTAGAAATGGGGTCAGAAGCGAGCCAGACATAGCCACACGCAAGACGTTTCGGTTGGGTTACGTGGAGGTCAAAGTCCGTGTTGGCTGCCGCGGACTCACCTTGCGGCACATCGGGCACTCCTTCCTGTCGCTCCGCTCGAGGCACCTCAGACACACGGTGTGCCCGCACGGCACTATCTTGGGCACGCGCTCCACCTGGTTGAGCTCCTCGAGGCAGATGTCGCAGTCCATGGTGGCGGTGGAGATGCTGGTCCCGCGGGCGGCCGAGTCGCACTGTGTCCGACTGAGCGTCCTGCCGCGGCTCGCGGCGATAGCGACTGATAGCGATACTCAGATACGGCGAACTGAAACGACTTAAGGTATTCCCCGCACACCCTCAAACCTGTTGTGACTCTCCTGTCGATACATTATCAATTTGTTTGTACAATGATGAGTGTAAACATTTTTGTCAATAACTTGCTATGGCGCTGAACTTAATAGTGTTCATGGCATGCAAACGGTTGAAGATTAGCATGCCATGTGCACACTGATTATAAGGGGGTAGAAAATATTTGATACAATGCGCGCTGTTTATACAGTGTGCATACAATGTTCGATATAATGCACGCAGTTTATGCAGTGTGCAGTGTGCATACCATGCACACTTTCTTCAATGTATCATTAACACTTTTTCAGACAGTTGGGGAGACTTGTCTCTACCAGTTTTGTTAATGAATACCTCGTAACGATATTGTTGATAGCGAATTACTTTTCTTACGAATAAAACTTTTTAGCCCGGAAATCAAAAGTGCAGTTCAGTGTTTACTTGTCCTCTAACTCTATACTGCTGTAGATGTTTTACACTTGGCGCCGCTTAACATGCTCATACGCATTATGTTGCCTCAGTGCGCTTCTTATCTATTCTGACAAGACACCCCCTCCCCCTTCCCCCCACGACCTCCCCCTCCTCCCATGTGTGTACCACAGACTATACCTCCTTCTCACCGCTGCTCTATATAGCCCCCTCCTCCCCCCTTCATCGCGCAGCCCCCTTTTCTAACCCACCTATAAGCCATTATCTGTCACATGATGTAGTATGTGTGTGTGTGTGTGCGTGTCTGCGTGTTAATATGAGTGTGTCGGCGCGCTTGCACGGGTGAGAAGCTAAGTACATTTGACGTTATCTTGTGATTCGATTTCACGCGTGACGACTTCGCCGCCTATCGCCGCCAGACACGCCAACCACACACAAATACGCACACACGCACACACGCACACACACACGCACACGCGCACACGATCCTAGGCAATACCGGACGTTGACGACGCGCTCGGCGAAACGTGTGACTTGTCTCGGCTGCCTCCTAAGTGTTGGGTTAAGTAACAGCCAATAATAGAGGGCGTGTTATCAGTCTCGCGGTCCTACGCTCGCGTTGGTGACCTCTCTACCCCGGTGTGCTTATCAGGAGCGTGTTGACTATCCAAAGCCCTTCCCCCCCACCCCCATCTTCCTCCTCCTCTCTCGCTGTTCCCTGGATCCGCCGCCTCTGCCCTGCGTGCTTTTGGGAGGGGGCGGTACAATGGCGAGCAGCAAGCTTGCGACCCTCACAACGCACAATGCGGGTACCCCTCCGCACCCCCACCCCCAAGTCACCCACCTCGCCCCATCCACCATAACCTGCCCTTCCCTGCCCGTAACCATAGGACGCCAAACCACCGCAACACTCCCGCCCTCGCTCCGGGTAGCAGCATTCACCGGCTCTACCGCTTCCACCACTTTACAATACACTCTACGTGTACACGTATCGTACACCTCCCTACCCGCGCCCCTACCATCAGCGTAGCGCGCGCGATTCAAACTCCACTTCATCCTTGCAGTCCTATTATGCCACTGCGACCGCTTTCATCAGTAGAGGGGAGGGAGAGGTGGGTTGG